CTTAAATTATTTTCTGCTGGAGGATACTAAATGTATGTGGGGCAGATGCATAAAACTTGCACTCTTGAGCTGGCCGGTTAGCTCAGTTGGCTAGAGCGCAGCCATATAACATCAAGGTCATGGGTTCAGATCCCCATACAGGTCAGCCGCCAAAAATAAAAATAAAAAAAAACCCAGGAAAATTACGCTCTTGCCTCTACTTCTAGAAATACACCCAATGGAAATGGGCCCTTATGTCCATCAGGACAGAACAGGAATGGTCAAAGCCATGCTATTTCTAAGAGCCACAAACTGGCACTCTTGCCTCTACTTCTAGAAATACACCCAATGGAAATGGGCCCATATGTCCATCAGGACAGAACAGGAATGGTCAAAGCCATGCTATTTCTAAGAGCCACAAACTGAAAACTAATCAAATACTCATCAACAAGAGAAAATGAATGAATAAAATGGTGATAAATTCACACAATGGAGTTCTATTCCACAATAAGAACAACTTCACATAACAGTAGGGATGATCCTCACAAACATAATGTTAAGTACATGAGCCAGATATAAAAGAGCACATACCATTTGATTCCATTGATATCAAGTTCAAAATCAGGCAAATCAAATCTACAGTGCTGGAGGGAATGGCCACTGGAATGGAATACAAGGGGTTATCCCTGGGGTCTGGTTGTGCTCTATTTTTGATCTGGATGCTGTTTACATGAACATATTAACTTTGCAAAAATATATCAAGCTTATGATTTATGTGGTTTTGTATAGGTGCAGTATTATGCAACAAAAAGTTTACATTGAAAAATTAGCCTAGAGAGAATAGTTTTATTTCCTTAATGTTAATATTTAAATCTACCTAAAATAAAGTCTCAAATTCCTTTGCATAAATCCCACCAGAATTTGCTCCTAAGTCCTGAATAATAAATTTTGTGAGCGTATTGGCTTGTTCATAGTATGTATTTTATTTTTTTGCAGCCTTCCTTGTTAACAAATATTCTGTTCTCTCTGCATGAAGACGGTGCTACTGAAAACACACTGTACATTGCGACATGGAACGTTCCAGAAGGGAGTAATGAGTCAGGTGCTGCAAGGTCCTGCTGGCCAATCTGTGGGGGTGTTATCACTCTCCTGGCCAAAAGCAGAAATTGGCAAAACAAGGATTTTGATTGTATGCATTGATTGTATGTTTAAATTGTATGTTTAAAATCATGTGGGGCCGGCCCTGTGGCTCTCTCGGGAGAGTGTAGCGCTGGTAGCGCCGAGGCTGCAGGTTCGAATCCTATATAGGCATGGCCAGTGCGCTCACTGGCTGAGCGTGGTGCAAACCACACTGTGCCGAGGATTGCGATCCTCTTAATGGTCAAAGAAAGAAAGAAAGAAAAAACCATGTGGTCCTCAATCCAGTATTTTACAAAAATTCACTAAACTTAATGATAAATGTTTAGCAACCCGTCAGCCTGTTTTATAATTTCTTTTTTAATACAGTAGTTGGGAAAGAAACATGCCACAGGAAAAAACCTTTTTCTTCCTACCACAGTAAAACTGGTTAAAATAACAAACAGGAAACAATACGGCAACAAATTGAAAGGCGTTCTTTTGTTAGCAGATCCTATGGAAGACTCAAAGAAAATGTGGCTGGAGATTTGAAGAAGCAAGTATTGTAACAAATTACACAGCGTGGGAGGGTTGCTATATAGTTGGGTGAAAGTACAAATGCTTCTAACATGTTTCAGCTTGTGGTATTTGCAAGATAATTCTTTTCATTCTGTTTCAATAATGAAATTCATTAGGAGCTACTTTTGTGAGCTACTAAAAGAAAGATATAAGAGAAGAAGTAAGAGAAGTAAGCCTCAACCACAAACAATTTCTTTAAAAAATACAAACATTTTTATGGAAACCTGGCTAAGTGACATTGTTGGAGTGTCTGCTTTGATTAGAATTTTTAAAAGATTCAGGGAAATGGTATAGAGAGGGCACCACATGTGAAATCCATTTACAGTAGCACCATTATGAGGCAAGCTATTACAGAAAAGAAATTGAAAGAGAAATGCAGGTTTTAGATCATACCATCAAGTGATTTTTTTTGTAACTGCATGGAAAGGAGGGCGTGAGCGACAAGCAATGGTGGGGAATTGAAGAGAGCAAGGTGCTCAGTGCAGCCATGGCAGCTCCAGCTGGTGGTTCCCTGCAGGAACACAGGCAAGCATTCCTGAGACCCAGATTTTAAAAGAGAAATCCCCTGATTTTTAAAATCCATGTGACAGGAAAATAAAATGGGTGTTTCAGAAAGCAATCTTCTTTCTCTCTTTCTTCTGCATTTTACTAGGATGATAATATGGACAGTGGTAGCCTCTTGACTCCTTCAGAAAGATTAGACAAAGTGGTAAATTTTATAAAAATAAGGCCTTTAAAATAGAGAACTTTTGCAAGCCTTTGTCATCATGTGGGAAATGACCAAGACAGTCTTTTGTACTATACAGGGGTTAGGCAGCTATGTTTTGCCAAAGCACTTAAAAGAGTGTAAAACTTAAAAGATTTTTTTTTTTTTTTTACCTTTTCTTGGGCTAAGTGATTATTAGAATTATTCTGCTTGGCAGGTATTTAGAAATTTTAAATAGACAAAACTAAACAAAAACATTTTGTTTCTTTAATGCAAGGATGATTTTTTTGTGTGTGTGTTAATAACCAGTGATTTAAATGTTGAATCATAATGAACTTATGCTATGAAAACAGCATTCTGAAAATGGATATTTGAAATTGTTTTATCACTATGTGATTTTTCTTGGTAAAACTGATGTGTTGCCTTAAAAAAATCACCAAGTCTATATACCTTAAAATAACAACAACAACAAAACACTTAAGCTCTTTAAAACATCTCCCAAGGGGACTGGCTGGTTAGCTCACTCGGTTAGAGCATGGCGCTGATAACACCAAGGTCCAGGATATGGATCCTTGTACAGGCCAGCCACCAAAAATAAATAAATAAATAAATAAACAAACAAACAAACAAACAAACAAAAATCTTCCAAAGAGTTTCAGTGCATCTTTTAACCCATTTGCTAAAACACAAATATATAGCTGAATAAAAAAACAAAATGCAAAATTTCCCAGTTGGTTCAAAAAACAGATTGACATCAAAGGAAGATAAAAATTGACTCATAAAATTTCAACAAAAACTTTGGTAAAGTTGGTGGATGGGACTGAAATACAAATATCACAATTTAGTAAGTTCATAATGTTTTTCTTTTATTTGAATCTATGCTTCTCTGTGAGATAGCTTAAATATTTTCAAATATAAATATTTTTTTTTTAGTGAGAACAAAAAGGTTTAAAACTATTAATAATTAAAGTTATGTTTAGAATGCTTATTTGGATTATCCTTTAGAATCTGCACTTTCTGTATATTTTATAATGGGCATAACATATTAGTACTTAACAATAGTACTTGTAGTTAGGACCATATGAAATTGCCTTTTTTATAGGTCAAAAACAGTTGAACACCAGCAATTTCAAGGCATTCAACCATATGTACAGTTTATAAATAAATATATGTTAGGGGACAGGCTCAATTTTCTTTGTTAGGGATACATGATCAAAAGTGGGGAGCTTGCAGGTTTGGGGCATTAGTCAATCATATAACCCCAATAACCAGTGAGAGCTGAGGGTCCTGAACTCACCATGTCTTTGGTATCATGAGTGTCCCACCCACAGTCCATGTAATCCCATCACTGGCCATGGCTAAAGTGCCTCATTTTCTGTACTTGTACTAAGCTGGCCAAATTCTAAGTAATTTAAGGAAAAACTACCACTCAGCATATTTTAAGTTCTAGTGAGTGGGTATGGTTTCTTAATGGTAAATTGGCCATTGGACTAGATTTTATCTCTCAGTAAAACTGATTTACTAAGAAAACTAAGAAAAGCCAGATGTGATTATTTAATTTTCATCTCAAACATCATATGAAGAAGTAAGGATAAGATTTCTAGTACTTTCCTGCTAAAACTGAGCGAAATAGGAGGTCATCTCAAATCCTTTCTGAAATAACCCCAGGTATAACTGTTTTTAAGTTTGAAAAAAGGTACTTTAAATAAGTAAAAGAAGCAATAAAATAAAAGAATAAAAAAAAGATTTAAAAAAAGAAAGACAAAAATAATCAAATTAGTTTAAAAAACACAGAATAATTTAAAAAGAGAAAAAGACCAAAAAAAGGAAATAAACAAAAAAAGTACTTTTTTTTTTTTTTTTTTTTTTTTAGAAGAGGGAACTAATAAAAAAATTTGATGTTGGTTACTTTTAGACAGAGGAAGGGGAAAATGGGGGAAGGTGATTTTACTTTGCTCTGTATATCTTTCTATACTGTTTAGTTTGCTAAATATTTGCATGTATGAGGGTACTTCAAAAGGTTTGTTGAAAAAGAGAATTAAAAGATAGTATGTGAATCTTTCCATGAATTTTTTGAAGTACCTTCATATGACTCCTATTTTTAAAATATTAATGGATTATTTGGGAATTGAAGTTATAAGCCATTTTGGTTTTTTTATAGTTTTTCTGCATTCTTAAAAATAACGACCATAATTTTCAAAGAGTTCACCATAAAAAAAATCCTGACAAACTTTTAAAAACTTTAAAGCAGGAGCTAATTAAATCTAAAAATGTCTTAAGCAAAAAAAATTGATTATCAAAAATTCTTTCTTTCAAAACTATTTATTTCAAGTGGGAATTTATATAATGTACTATATATGAGATGACAACTACATGTAAGAAAATTAAGTCAAAAACCTTGAGGAATACACTCATCAGATCATCAAAATATAAAACACTCATAATAATTTTACATTAGGTATTTTATTTTATTTTATTTTTGTCTTTTTTGTGACCGGTAAGGGGATCACAACCCTTGGCTTGGTGTTGCCCGCACCGTGCTCAGCCAGTGAGCGCACCGACCATCCCTATATAGGATCCAAACCCGCGGCGGCAGTGCTGCCGTGATCCCAAGTGCTGCACTCTCCCGAGTGCACCACGGGGCCGGTCCTACATTAGGTATTTTAATTGAGAACAGTGTTATTCCATTCAAGTAACAAGCCCAAAGCAGTCACCAACTAAGAGTTAATGCTCTACTCCCTATATACTCATACACACAGCCCTTATACAGTGACCCCACACATTTTTATCCAAAATTATCTTTTAGAAAGCCATATCTTTTTATCAGTCTTATGGAAATTATTTAGTGGGCTTTTTTTTTTTAATAAATAAAAAATTTTCAGAACACTGCTAAGCAACCACATCAACTTAGACAATGTGTTAAAACTGGGATTTAATGTCTAAATCATTTTCACAAAAGCAGAAATAGCTAAATAAGACTCAGGTTTAAGTGAGAGGTGGGGGTGGATTACTAATCTATATAGGAATGATTTGTAATCTGATTAGCAGAGTGATAATGCTGAACGAGCTTTGAAAGTTGGCCCTACCTGATAACAACTCACGTTAACACAGACCTTTGTCCTAGAATCCTTTCTCAAAGGCATGCATGAGTGCAACAAAAAAGAATCACCAGGGGAAAGAAAAGTAAGCTGAGTTATTGCCATGGTGGAGTGCTGATCAGAGGCGGTCAGAGCAGCCCCCAGTCCCTGTAAAACCAGCAGAGGAGGCAAAGTGCCCTGGCCAGCTGTCCCCAGGACTTGGCAAGCAGTCCAGTCCTGGAGCAGGGCCCAGGAGGAGGCAGTCCCTGGGGGGCTGGTGTGAGGGACAGACCAAGTTCACTTGGGTGAAGAGCACTCGCCACCCCCTGGACAGTCACCATGGGGGAACTGGCCCTTACCCCAGATGCCAGCCCTTCCTGCAGATCCATGGTTTAGCCGCTCTCTGCCCTCTGAGCCACTTTCCTCTGGACTTCCTTCCTCTGGGCACTGAAGATGGAAGGGCTGGATTTCTCCCTCTTGCTCTTCATCTTCAGAATCAGACCCATCAGACTCATCGTTGTAGAAGTGAATCGTGGCTTGCACTGGGAAACTGGCCAGCACTTTTTCTCCGGAACTCTGCAGATATTCTTGACTCTTTGAAATGGGTAAATAAAGTCTAATATTTAAGAAACAAATACACCATTAATCAACCTGAAAATATCCTAAACTCCTTCTAGAGGATTCTTTTTGCTAGAGGTAGCTAACTCGCCAATCTTGCTCACTGATTTTGCCTTCACTAGACAGTGTTTTTTTTAAGTCACCAGAACATAGACTGTGGGCAGCTAGGTGGCGGAACCTGGTAATACACCCCACGCTAGGTCAGAAGTGAGCTATAATCTGAAAGAACAAATTAATTTAGACAAACAGGAAACAAGGTGTACTTCAACAAAGGTAAAAGGCAATTGTAGATACTGAGTTCCAATTTTAAGAGTCTCACTCTGATCAAATGGAGGGCTTGAATCACTGGGACAAGGGGTGTCCCGCCGCCCACCCCATCCCACCCCGCCTCCTCACCCCACCCCACCCTCTGAAGCACAGGGAATGTCATAACCCTTTGGGGTCTGGAGGAAACTTCACTCTGTATCCCTGGTCTAGAGAAGCAGCTAATTTTTCCAGATGTTGCCATGGAGAAGCTGGGGTCAGTGGGCCCCTCGCTCTGCCAGAATAGAAAAGATGTGCTTGGGAAAAAGAGAAAGAGAGAAAAACGCTTAAATATATACTACTTGGAACCCCTTTAAATCCCAGGTTTTGTGGAATTTAAGATTCCAGTTATACAAGGAAAGTATTTAAATTATCCCTCCCCTCCCCATAATCTCTTATCCATGTACTTTTCACTCACTAGTTTATTTGCTTTTTTTTGCTGTGGTCTTCTGAGGAAGTGAGAGGGTTTGTCAACTAATCACTACTTATTTACAGAGCTGATTTCAGTATCCCCCTTTTCAAATAGAGAAGAGGGAGAGAGAAAACACCCTCCTATAAATAATGTATGATAATTTTTAACTTACTAAGATTTCCAATAGACCAGTGATTCTCAACTGCCAGGGGACATTTCACAGTGTCTGGAGACATTTTTGGTTGTCACAACTGAGAGGAAGCTAATGGAATGCTGGTAAACATCCTACAATGCCCAGGACAGCTCCCACAACAAAGAATTATCCAGCCTCAAGTGTCAATACTGCTGAGGTTGAGACCAAATGTATATGTATATATAAGACAGAAATATAAGCATAGTTTAGTTTTTGGTGATGTTAAAAATTAGGTATTTATGGTGAAGTATTTGCATGTGAATTTGTAGGATGTCTGGGATTTGCTTTAAAATATGCTAACAACAGCAAAAACAAAAATAGTTAGGGGTGATAAACATGATCAGAACAGGAGCTTGTCAATAATTATTGAGGCTGGTGATGGGTACATGGGGGTTTCACTGTACTATTCTCTGCCTTTTTGTGTATGAAGTTTTCTGGAATGAAAAGAAAGTTGTATATGCAGTTTGCAATGCACAGTTACACAGATGCAGCTCATTCCCCATCAGTTATGGCATTCACACCAAATCAGAAATTGGGGAGCAGCAGCAGAGCATCTGTGAGGCAGGCCTGGAGGTGAGTGGCACAGAGACCCTTGCAGGACACCTAGCAGGGTGGTGGCTCTCAACCCCAACTGCACATTAGGATCAGCTGCGGAGCCTATGGAAATACAGATGCCTGGGCCTTTCCCTAGAACAAGTGAGTCAGAACCCCCGGGAGAGCCAGCAGTCATCTGCACTTTTTAAAGCTTCCCCAGCGATTCTATGAGGATTGGAAATGACTGATGTAAAGGACACTAGGAAAGTTTCCCTTTTCCAGAATCCGCTCTAACCAGTCCAGTGGGCTCTAAAGTTCATCTCTAGAAATGAGTGTCTTTGGATTGTAGTAAAGCTTTCTAAGTCTTGCAGGGTAACCAGGGTAAAAACACCCTGAGGTGTGGTGGCAGCACAGTCTCGGCTAATTCTGGTGAAGGAAATGAAAGCTTGGGAGAGACAGACTGAGAGAATAAGACATGGGCAGGGACGCAGAGATGGATAAAAATCCTGGATGTGAGCCTCTTGCCTAGAATGGATGACATGTAAGTGGGACAAAGCAGTAAGGGTCACCACCAGGACCATGACTGCACAGCCCAGAGGGGCAGGAGGAGAAGGCTCCCAAATGCTCCCAGCTATCCATCCATGCGCTGTTTACTCAGCACACACACTGTGAAGGTCTGCTTTGCACTGGACAATATATTAGCTCAGGTCTTAGAAGAGAAATAGAAGCATACCTCAATATCTAAGTCAGTAAGTATATATATATATATGCATATACAATTCATATGTCATTAAATTTAACACAAGGCTTAATATGTAATGAGAGGTATAAACATAAGTTCCAAAGAAAAGAGAGAGGCCAATTCCAACTTGTAAACAAAAAACGGAATGAATGAATACACGAATGGATTCCAGAAATCCAACAAGATATCCTTGAAGTTCCTTAGTGTAAGAAAATTAGGTAATATCAAAGAATATATTGAATTACTTTCCATTCTGTTGAAAATCTACACTAAAGTTGAAGACACTAAAGTGTATTAATGCTTGTATTAAAAGAAAGTTATAGATTTCTTACTGTGAAGTCATATATTACCTTACAGGATGCTGAAACCCAAAGGCTCCCTTTGATCCAAAAGTTTGTTGGTCACCCCCAAGCTCAAGCTGTAAAGACAGACACATACAAATGCAGATACAGTCAAGGAGCCTCTGAAAGTACCATCCTGCGGTAGTAGTAGTCTGCAATTGTTAGTATCAGTACCAATTTTAGAGAGTAAAATTTTAAACAACAGGATTTGATAAGCCCTCTTCCTATTCCTGATACCCAAAGTGTCCTAGGACTGTGAGAGATTCAAAAAGGAAAGAAAGATCACGACATAGTGCCTGAGTCCAGGAAGACACACGTCTATGCAAATAACTACACTACAAAGCCTGATACGTGAGACACTAGATTCTAAGTGGGGTGAGGAAAAGATTCGTGGGGGCTTGGCACAGACATTGCAGCACGTGGGTATGCAATTCTGAGACACTTCTGGCAGAGCACAGCATCGGTTTCAGCAGGGTAGGAAAGCAGCGGGCACATGGCAGGGAGGCCAGTGAGGAGCGAATGAGACACTGCGAGGGTCAAAGGGCTCCAAGTGGAGGTTGAGTCCTGATTACATAAGGCCTTAAATACCCACTATTAAGTTTAGGTTTGATTCTGGAGACAGGCACCAGACAATGATTTTTGAGCTGGGAAGTTCAATAGTCAGTTCTGTATTTCAAGGATAATGGTGGCCACTGGGAGCTGGCAAAAGGCTCGAGAGCTTGGCGGCACTAGCCTTGGCAAGAGATGATAAGCTCTGAGCTGAAGAAACAACAAAGGGAAGGGAAAAGAAAGGCAGATTCCAAATACACTTCAGTAGTATCCAAAAGGCCTGTGACCGTGTGAGTATCAGGAGCCTAGGAGAGGGAAGCTCATCTGAGTGCCAGGCTACTAAGGACAATATTAATAATGAGGATAAGGGCCGAGCCCGTGGCGCACTTGGGAGAGTGCAGTGCTGGGAGCGCAGCTGCGCTCCCGCCGCAGGTTCGGATCCTATATAGGGATGACCGGTGTGCTCACAGTGCTCACTGGCTGAGCGTGGTGGGGCCAGTCTCAAAAAGGACAAAATAATAATAATAATAATAATAATAATGAGGACAAGACACAGCAGAGAGTCAGGCTTGTCCATGCTAATTGCTGACCAGTGTGACCAGGGAGTCTCAAAAAGGACAAAATAATAATAATAATAATAATAAGGACAAGACACAGCAGAGAGTCAGGCTTGTCCATGCTAATTGCTGACCAGTGTGACCAGGGAGGTGAGGGAGTGGTGACATTGTACTTGTTTAGGGTTTATCCCATTCCACCAAATCTCCTGAGCTGCTGGAGCTGAATGGATTTGGCCAGGTATCTGAGGCACTGAGGAGCCAGAAATCATTATCTGATCTTGGGTCTCTGAAAGCTTAAGTTACTGTGGCAAGTGGGGAGTGGAGTGTTCTGGGATGGACCATCCTGGGATGACTTGAAAATGAGCCAAAATGGACTTGGGCAGTGGTTCAGAAACCTAAGATCTTGGATTCTACAGAGTTTAGTGGGAACCAGATCAGGAATGGGACAAAACCTGCTGTCATTGGCATGACAACAGAGGACTCTGAGGACTTTGATAGCATTGACGTCCACACCATTCATCCTGCAGGGCACCTTGGTGTCTGTGTGTATGGGTACATTGTGAGCAAATTAGACTGCAGGAGCCTCTGCAGACAACACATTTTATCAGTCATAGCTTTATAACACACTATGAGGAGCTGAGACGAGTAAAACGAGGCTCTTTGGAACCAGATCTTTTCCCATAAAGCTGTTCACTCTTTGGGCGCTACAGGTAATTGCTTCTGTGTTAAGCTCTGTCTGTAATTATAAAATATTCCTAATTGCTCAGGCTCATTCTATCACCACAAGCAATCCTGTCATGCTAAAGATGCTTTTACGCCCTGTGATGGGGTAGGGTCTAACAGAACAGTGCAGACTCTGGTAGACACAAGGCAGTGGTAGGTGGCAAAAACAATGGCTTCTTTAAAGCATCCAATTCTAACTAGACTGTGAAACACAGTACACCTTTACAAACTTTAAAAACTTTACCCTAGGGCCAGCCCGGTGGCGCACTTGGTAGAGTGCGGCGCTTGGGAGCGTGTTGGCCCTCCCGCCGAGGGTTCGGATCCCATATAGAGACCGGTCCACTCACTGGCAGAGTTTTCTTACCATATTATAAATAACTGCGCACTAAGCCATATGCCACATGTGTTATGTAAATTTAATACATGGTCCTGCCTAACCAAATGAACTCTTTGGTGTTTTAAAAGTTAATTTATATTTTAAAATGTAACAAAGGAAAGGTAAACTCTATGAAAGCAAATCATTACTTCGATACATATATAACAATTTAGCTGCCAATGCGGGATAACAAAAGAGTAGTAATAGCAATTAATCTTTGCCCACAAAGCACTTTAGGCTTGAGGCTTGAGTGTATTTGCTCAGACAACATGAGTTACCTCTGGAGTGAAAAAAAAAAAAAAAAAAAATGCTTCAGAAAGGGCAGACGGAGGGTGGGGGCTTTTAACTGCACCTTCTGGACACTTCAGATGAGGTTTGCTCTTATTTGCACTGTGGCACAGCCCAGCGCTAATGATGCATTCAGCTTTTCTCTGAGGTGGGGGGCTGTGGCAGCCTTCTCTCTCTACCTGCTGGTTTGTAGAAGAAAACCCAGCACAGAAGAAATCCCTTACAGTTCCCATGAAATAGCAAGGCCGTAGTGGCTTTGCTTTTTAAGAAAGAGGCCATCAGGAGCCCAATCTACATTCACATGTGACTCAGATCTGATTAACACCTTGCTCAGCAAGGCTCCAACTCACAGACCCCGAGGCACTTCTGGGTTAGATGACCAAGAGAGAGCTGGGCAGAGGAGGACTGTCACGGTCCCTTTATTTTAGAGATGAAGCCACTTTCTGGACGGACTGGTTACCTACAATGCCCACACTTAACCTTACCCGGCTTCCAGTTCTGGTCAGCTCAGCACCCCTGGGTGGCAGGATCCAAGGTCTCCATGGTGTGGGGCTGGAACGGCAAGTACCAGGAGAAAGTGAACCCAGGGCATTTCTTTTAAAATTGCGTCATGAGAGTAATTCTTACTTCTAGTGTCTGCCTGAAGAAGAATCACTGGACACCCCAGAATGTCCCTTCAGGTTTTCAGTCTGTGGCTAATCCAGTACCACTCGTGTTTTTCTCTCCTGAGGCATTCCTAGTTCTCCGCTTTCAATTAGGCTTTGAAAAGCGAAGTCCCACATTTGACACAATTATCAGGGGACATATCGATTGAGGTACTTCTCTCCCAACTAATCCTGCATTCCCCACTGTAGCTGGCTACTTTGTTGTTTTTAGTTTCCACCACACCACCTCTGTTACTGAAGGATCTTGATTATATAGAGATGATTCTACAGAGTTCTAAGATGTAAAAAAAAAAAAAGAGAGAGAGAGAGAATCTGTCTCTCCTCTTTGACTGCCTGGCCCACCAAACCCCTTCCCTATCTCCCTGGCTAATTTGATTTCCTTAAATTTTACTGCCTTAAAAAAGGCTACGAGCACAGGGAAAACAAAGACTGTCAACCAAGAAGGTGACAGTGGAAGTGGGGCAAAGCTCACTTAAGGACTCGAGTATTCAATGTTTCCTAGCCCAGTGAACTTCAGATCTACAAACGGAAGCGCTGGTCCATTTCCTCGCCCAGTACCTCCCGGGCCTCCGCACTTCAGGACTGTGCGCTGGAACCGAGAGGACTCTGCGCCCGGCTCTGCCTTTGGATGAAGAACTTGCTCGGCGTCGCCGTGAAGCTCGGGGGCTCCTCCCGCGCTCCGGGCGATCGGGAAGCTCCGGTGCCACTGAGCCCCCCGATCGCTGCTCTGCCCTCACTGACCCCGCGCGCGCCTCTCCACGCATCCACCGGGGCCGTGGGGACACCCTCACCTCTCGGGCCCGCGCGGTGGCGGTGGCC